CTGCGCAGGTGCTTCTATATCATTTTATTCAAAACAATAAGAAAGATGAATACTAAACGTGACTTAGAAACAAGGTTATCCACTCATTTGAAGTTTTAATCCAATTCCTATGTCATAATTTCAACTTGTTAAGATTGTTGATGTAATCGTGCAGAAGAGAAACAAAGTTGCTGCTTCTTTGGGATTAAATAGGGAACTTAAAATAAAGTTCTTTCTCTTTATGGCTTAACCTTTGGTTAGCCTTTGTGTAGGTCTGGTGACTTCTGTTTCCGTGTTTTTGCCACTGTCATACACACATTTTCTCATTGTCTGACAGTGAAGTCTATTTGTATTATAAATTATATTAAAATGCATTAATAACAACTGCCACAAAGGTTTTAGCAGTTTGGTTCTCTGGACTCTAAAGAAGCGGCTCTTGTTGTTCATTAGTATGTGAGGGAACAACTGGTTCAGAGAAAAACCTTTGAATTACGGAAACACTTAATTTCCCTTTGGGATAAATGAAGTATTTGTGAATTGAATTGATCTTCCAGCTCATCTGCTGAGTTACAGGGCAAAAAGGCAGTAGAACAGCAAATGTAGTCAAAGGTTTCAGTAAGACTGGGCATACATCCACTGTCGCTACAAGCATGCTTAGTGTGAGGTATTGCATTCGAGTAAGTGATATATGGCCAGACTTGTGAGATTGGGGAAACCATGTCATCTCCTGATGTTTTTCACGTAGTTGAATAGTCTGCCATCCACAGTGCTAAAAGTAACAATTCGACGGGATTACTCTATTTACTGAATAATAACACTGACAAACATCGAGACTCGAGTCAATGAGTCAATGCTTTTAACTGGTTTTCCTTGGATAGAAAACTTTGAATTAATTTTACTGGATGATCTGGTGAACTGTAAAGTGCCTTGAGATGACATATGTTGTGAATTGGCGCTATAGAAATAAACTGAATTAAATAACATTTTACAATTTTTTTCATCTTTTTCGGGCCGATTCTCCAGTCGTAAGAAAAGTTTTTGGATCAGGCCGTCTTTCAGCCTCATGGTGCGTCCTGTGTCGTGTAGTATACATGGAGTAATGAGTACCGATTATCCTCTTGCGACCTTCTCCCTATCAGGTCGGGAGAAAATCCAACATGTTTGAAATTCAGTCGGCTGTCATAAGGTGTTCGAGAGGAAAACCTGCTGTTGAAGCAGAGCTACGAGCGTCTATGAGCCGATTTACCAGAAGCTGAGATCACTGAGATTTCCTCCTCCATCCAAGGAAACTATCTGTTTTAATATCTTCAATTTCCCGATTGATCTGAGATTAGTCATCCTCACTGAAGTGCGGACCTTCCTACTATTAGTACAGCAGCTTACACATTTCAGGACATCATGGAAATAACCAGCATTGACCTGGAGCTCGTTTAAACACCCATACATATGGAGATGTAAAGGAGTGTCATGGTGTCTTGTAGACAAGTCATGCTTTGTCTCGGAATATGTATGCTACAGGAGACAGTTTATATCCTTTTATATTTAGCTCATCTTTATTGGGATCCATTTTTGACTAATTGGGCGCGTCTGCAAGTTGCCTACCCTGGATCTGCTTTTATGTGAGTGCCGATTTACACGTCTCTTTGTGTGTTTTACTGGACGGAGTTGTGGATTGCAGTGCATTTATTTGCACTTGCCTCGGCAGTGTGTGAGTGTGCACTCTTGCTGCATCGTGTGGTCAGTCTGTGGTTGCGGCAGTGGGAGGGACGGCAGGGCAGGCTGATAACAGAGTCTGAATGGACCTCACATCCACCACCACTATTTTTACCAGTCCCGAAAGCAGAGGAAAGCTTGCTGCAACACACACCAGAAAAACTCTCATGCAAAAGTACTTAGATGCCTTGCTGTAAAACGAGGCGTACAGAACGTCTTGATTCCTGTCATATTTAGCACTGCGGTGGATGGGGTTTATAGTTTCACTCAAAAGTTTCACATCACAAAGCCCTGAAGGCAGGTGTTTTCTGGCAACTGTTACGAAATAGAAATTATCATTAAAAAGCAATGAAACAAATGAATATTGTTGAATACCTTTACTCATTTTATCAGAAGAGAAATCAACAGCTCCATTGATTTAATTTGTTTTATAAACCAGACAACTTGATGCATAAAAAAAAAAATATCACCAAAAAGAGAGTATTGATCATATAATTGATGAAAGTTTAAGGTTTATTTCTCCTACTTTGATAAATTGCTTTCAGCTAATAATATTTAAATTATATGAGTTTATTTAGATATCAATTTTCTATATTTAAATCAAAAATCATTCTAAATCTTGTCAGGGCCATAATAAAAATGTCTTTAAAGGAAGAAATATTATTATATGGCCTGATTTGTGAGATTAGAGAAGCCATGTTATCTACTGATGTTTTTCTCGTAGTTGAATATTCTGCCGTCCACATTGCTAAAAGTAACAATTCTAGGGCTGCAGCGATCGACTGGATTACATTACTTACTAAGAAATAATACTGAAGACATTGAGCCATTTTTTTTATATATTTTAAACTATATGTATTCTACTACTTGCTGTGCAAAGTCCTGGTAAAGTTTTTGAAATGCTCTCCAACAGCGGAGGGCGGTTTTACTTTGGGAAAAATCAATATCGCTGAAGAGCCGCTAGGATTAACTGGATTAACACATTAGGATTAACTGACAGTTGGAGTCAACTGATAAAGTCCACTTATTTCAGCATGATAGTGCATCCAGAACAGGATGCCACTGTTCAGCCTTAAGCAGAACCACAGTTATAGATGAACGAGACATAGTGATGGTGGACGAACAGAAATATAAATCAATCCAAATTAAGTTGGGTGCAGGATTATATATATTTCTCTTTATAGGGAATTAGAACTGTTTCATCTATTTTATTTAAAAAAAAATATGTAACCTAATAGTTTCCTCTCTGATTATATTTTATTGATAGGAAAAAAGAGACAGTTTTTTTTGTTCCGTCAGATTTAATACAGTGGGAGAATAATGGCTAATATTTTGAATTAATGAAAATAATTGAAACTATATATTATAATTCAGCAGCTTTTTGAAGACAAAACTCTTTTCAGTCATCTGAGGAGTTTTGCTTTGATCAGAACGTGGCGATAAAAAGCAAACAGCTCATTGGTGTCCAGGTTAGAAGCCTTGTGATGTGCAAGTTGAAATAAGAAATTAGACATTTACTGAAATAAACGTTTGATTTACATTTTTAAGAAGAGCAGCAGTTCTTGTTTGTTTGAGGTGATTTATATGTAACTGTTTATCAGGCCTCTACAGATAGAGAATCTTTACATATTTTAGTAAGAAGTGGCTGATATTGGGCAGAAAGAAGTGGCAAAGATATCAGATTCTTAACACCTACTGCATTTCTCTGTGCTACTGTTAAATTGTCCCTGATTCATTTCAGATTTACTCATCCTAACATCCCCACCCACATGGCAGGGTGTTGTTCACTTCTCCGTCCTTGGGAGGAGAAGGAACAGGGAGGCAGCACGTTCTATAAATATTTCGTTTTTAAACCATCCCGGGCTGGATTGAGCCGGTTGAGCTTTCGATGCAGGGACTTCCCAGCTCATAGGATGAGGTGCAGTTGTAGAAGCCAGGGAGGCAGTGTGTGGATGTTGGGTTCAGGTCTGTTCAGAATCAATCAGGTTCATAGAAGAATCCCCCTGGAAACAAAGCTTTCTATCCTGAATGATCTTTGGTGTAAAAAAGTAAAAATTCCCGACTATTCATTTAGGCTAAGAGCATTTCCAACTCTAATCTGATCACTTTGAGTTCTGGTTATGCTTCCCTTGGTTTTCCACTTACTGACACCGTCTCTGCTAACATAGATCGTCTAGGGATTAATCTTTTGACAGAGGAATTACTTAAAAGTGTTTGCTTTTGGAAGCAGGTCCAGCCACGGCTTCTCATTCCCGGAAAAAACTGTCAGCAAGTGACAGTGAGAGGGAAAAAAAGACTCAGGAGAGGGTGTGAAAGTGTTCTGCTCGAGCCAGTGGGTGTTGTCTGGGCGTGGAGACTGCAGGAGGGGGGCGGGGTGGGCCAGGACTCGGTGGCCATGCTTGGTGCAACGTGGTCGGCCTGGTTTTTCCCCATGTTGCCTTCTCTGCACGGCGTAATGAATGGCTTCCTACTGGTCTGTGGCCGTGGCCCCAGCTTAAAGAGTATACTTACCAAGGCCCAGAATACACACCCCAGCAGGCCAGCCAGCCAGCCTGTGTCTTTTCCTCTGAACACTCCCAACCACTGGTCCACCTGCTGCAGACTGCCGCAGCTTCTCTTTCTCATCAGTCACAATATGATAGTCTTTAATAAATTAAATAACTTAATATTCTTGCACTAATCAATTTAAAAAATATAAGTTAATGAAAGAAAAACATTTGAAGGCTTTAGTTTTCTTTACATATCTAGCTTTGTCTAAAGGGGGTTCTAGACAGGGAATTATTGCATGGCAAGGTCTAAATTCACTGAAAATCTTCTGATAGCACACTCTTGGTTGCAGAATGAGAATGTAAAAATTATGCATTCATCATATACTGTCACAATTTGAGATATAAGTTGCTGGTCATTTGAACATTTCCATCCATCTTCATCCCATCATTTTTGACCAGATGAAAGGTTGCAAAGGTTGTTGTCTCTGTCGAGGCTTGATATAAAGGCATGCAGGTGTGTTTAATTTGCTGTAGGTTTCTTTTAGTTTTATTCTTTTTTGTCATGAAGCTGGACGTGTTACCCTGAAGTTTCAAAGCAAACCTTGGGTTTTAAATCCATCTAGTAAAGAATGAAAACTAAAACATTCACACCTCGTTTCCTGCTAGCTTCTGGTTGACTAAGGATGTGTGTGTTATGACTGCCCCCTGACCCACCAACTTGTGTCTGTAGTCTGAAAACAGAGCAGCGCCTCCTGTGACCCTGCCTTGTGTTTGAATGTAAGACTGAATGAAGCTGTGTCTGTCGGTCTGTGTTTGCAGGTGCTGTTTTTGCTGCGCTCCTTCCAGACGGACTCACACAGGCCCCTGCCAGCAGGAAGTGGCATCGGAGAGGCCCTCTGTCAGCGCATGTGGCTCTGTTCAAGGTAATCCTAGACACACACGTGCACACACACATTCAAAAAGACGCATAGATAAGCATCTATAGCCCTCCTCCAAAACTCTCTCAAAGAAAAGCTCCTTGTTTGTCGCGCATCCTCTGGCTGGCTAAGTCTGCTTCATGTCCTCCCAAGGCTTGTATTTCAAAGAATGCCTGCTGACCTGACTGCAGACCCCTTCACACACCCTCCCTTCAACCAAAGAGCCTCTCAATGTGGGGCATGGTCTGCCAAGCCTTGCATCTCCTGACTGGCTGAGGTCAGGCCCGGGTCTTTAGTAGATAACACAGGGTAACCCCCTGCTAGCTCCACTCGCTTACTCTAATGAGGCTTTATTAAGATGACGAGGTGCATTCTTGCTCTCTAGAGCACGTAAAGTGCCTGTCCGTTTGATCACGCAGCATCAGGGAGCCGGCCGCCCGGATCTGAGCACATCACAGGTCAAAGGATCTCTGTTTTTGGAAAAAGAAAAACCTCCCAACTCGTTTAGATCACCACTAATTTGAGGAGTCCTGCATCCAGAGAGGATGGAATGCATTGTCCGCCTGCTCTGACTCCGTGTTTCATTCTGGCCGCACACCGTCTCTGTCCTGTGTCCGTTTGGAAGCCTTTCTGTCTAAAAGATGTTGTTACACATCATGGATGATGTCTGCAGAGGACTCTGTGGTTACAAATCGGGCCCAGAAACATCCTATCAAAACATCAAAGCCTGAATTTTTATCTCATTATTCAGCCAGTCTGATACTTTTTTCTAACCTGTACCATAATAAAATTGTAACTAATTTTTGATGAATGCAATTTTGTTTTTTGTTGTTTTGTTTTTTTTCCTCATATAAATATAAATATGTACATTAAGGGTAGAATAATTCATTTTAAGTATCAGGTAATTGTGCTTTTCAGTTTCCATATTTAAAAAAACTACAACATTAAAAGAAAGCAAGGAAGTCTTTTTCATTCCAATTTGTTAACCCTTTTTGATTTTATAGTATTCATTATTGTTTAATAGTTCATCATAAGAGAGAGGATTACTCATCGATGCACATAGATCTGATTAAAGAGTAGAGCTCTTTGCATAAAACTATTGCCATCATTTTATTTGTTGATGAGCCACTGCTATCCGATTCAGCTCATTGTTTAGTCCAGCGGTCCCCAACCTTTTTTGTACCACGGACTGCTATATGTCAGACAATATTTTCATGGACCGTCCGGGGGTGGGCGAATTGGGGGGTGAGGCGGGGGCAATACGATCCAGTAAAATGATACGACTGGCATAAAATCAAATACAAACAGCATAAAAATAAAACAACAAGCCGGTCCCATCTAGGCGTAATCGGAGAAAATTGACAGAGGCTCCTGATATCCAGTCTGCTCCGTAGCTTTGTTTTGGTCGCTGTAACCGCAGAAAATCCCGCTTCACAAAGATAGGATGTTATAGGTAGGATGAGTCTTAACCTGTGTCAAGAGACACAGATGCACCGACTGATGTCATTGGGAGAGAATACCGCAATTTTTTAATATTTTTTAAAATAAAACATCACTCAGACTCTGATCGTCGATAAATTTTATATATATATATATATATATATATATATATATAGTATATACTTTTTTCTGTGTGGCCCGGTACCAAATTACCCACGGACCGGTACCGCTCCGCGGCCCGGTGATTGGGGACTGCTGGTTTAGTCAGTATTTTGTGTCCCCACTATGGGTAATACTAGTGAATCAGGGGGGATCATGAAATGATGTGGAAATTTTCCTGCACAATGCTTCTTTTTGTGTGTGTACGACCTCTGTTTGGTTTTCTAGCCCATACATTTTCTCCTCCTCTAAAGCAATCGGTTAGCGCCCCCGCTTAGTCAATCGGTTAGCCTTGAAACACATTCCTGTAACCCCACTTGCACAGCTGAGGTGCTAAGTAATCATTTTATTCATGAAGTTTCTTGTTTAACTATGTTAACTCTTTATTTTGTTTTTTTTTTTAATTGTTGAGTTTTCTGATTCATCATCCAGGACTGTAGCAGCTGCCTTGAAATCTCCAATCATCGTCCTTGTTTTATTCACTTTCACGATCAGATGAATGTTTCCACACCATGCCACAGTGCACTCGACATACTCCCCGTACTCGTTCATCTCTGGTTTACCTGATGACTAAAACATCATCAGAATATTTCTGCAATTATTGCAGGTTTTATTGTCTGGCAGTCTTAGGTGTACAGAGTAAAAAAGAATGGTGAGAGAGCTGTCTCCTGTCGTGTTCCTTTCAGAGAAGGACCTTACTGTTCTCATCTAAACTGATCTTTATATAGTCAGTCACACACTTAGTCATTGGTTGATGTCCTCCCCATGTAGCTTGCACACTACACTCCAGTATATAGCCTCAACACAACCTTACAGGGCCTCATCTGCTTCCTATGATCATCTTCTTAAAGTCGTCCGTACCTGGGCTGCAGAGACTGAACCTAACAACAACAAGTCCTGGATGACTCCATCTTTGGGTCACAAGCACTTCCAACCCTTGTGTTTTTCACCTTTCATTAACTCCCGGTCTGATTGTATGGTCAGAAAATCCACGCTGAGGTCGGGGATAGGATCCTACTGGCATGTTTCAGTAAATCACATAATACCAGCCAGAAAGCCTAGGTACTGAGAAGTCATGTTTGGTTCCCACCTGCGGAACCACTCCTTTGAGTGTGTCTTGCTAATCGCCAATAATTTCCGCCTGTAGTCTATACTATTTGCACAAAAGCATGTGAAATTGATTGTCAATCAGTGATGCTAAGTTCACAGTTTGATTTCACAGCTGTTTGATTTGATTGAAGTTCTGTTGTGTTCCAATAAACGAAAATTAAAAACAATCCACTGGACTCTGTTTCCAAGTTTGAAGACGTCCCATCCAGATAGCTTTTTCAATAAAAAAATGTCAGGAATAGAGTTTAGTTCGAGGTCTTATACAATAGCCCAACAAAGCCTTGTTTTTGTTTTGAATGGACGAAGAGGTCCACCCCTTTGGAATCGGGGTCATTTGGCTTCTTTTGTTAGCCTGCAATGCCCCATACTAGGGATGGAACGGTTTATAATAACCATCCGAACTGTTCGGTTCGGTTCGCGTGTGTTGCCTTCGGTTCATGCGCTGCTCCTTTTTCTCATGGGGCGAAGCGTGTACACTCCAGAGCAGAAGGTGGCGGTACTGTGACCAAAGCCAACCACCAGTAGTAAACAAGAAGAAGAAGAAGAAGCGAAGCAGCTTAGCCGGGTGTAGCAGAAATAAATCAGTTGTTGTGGAGAATTGTGTGGGTATGGCGAGTGGGAAAGAACAGGAGTTGGAAGACGCGCCAGCAGCACTTTATAGGTCTGCTGTATGGGACCACTTTGCATTTAGAGTGACCTACGATGACGGCGGAAAGAAAGTTGTGGATAAAAGTGCGCAAGCATTGTGCAACACGTTTTGTTTATGCTAACAGTAACACAACCAACATGTCAGGCTAACAATCAACATATACTGAACCGAACCGAAAACCGTGACCACGAAACCGTGAACCGAACCGTGGATGTTCCACCCATACCCATCTAAGTGTCTGAAAGGGGGGTCATTGGTCTCTGGATGGTTTATGTGAACCTTGGAGCAGTTAGTTCCCAGTTTGAAAGGGTGCCATCCTATCATGCAAAAGCATATGAGCTAATGTGATGACAGAGGACATTTGATCAGAGGTGGAAGAATAACGAAGAGCTCAGATATTTTTGAAAGGTCTTCTTGGGTACATGCAGGCACATGACTACATTAGAACACAGAAGCAGAGACAGAAACCCCATTAAACAGACTTTCTTTTTTAATACTTTTTTTCCCCCTTTATAATATCTGAGTGATGACAGCCCAATGTCAAGCTTACACACCGTATGCTTTGTAGTAGGGTGATACAGTCCCATTTATGACGCACACTCTAGTATGCAGCGGAATTAGTTTTGCAACTAAAACAAACTTTATGGTTAAAATTCTGTTTAAATTGGAAATTGATAGGTTTTAGTGTGAGCTATTTGGTGACTAAGAAAAGACAGCAGGAATTAATCCAGAAATAGCTTTGGGCATCTCATGAGACAGTCGATACATTTCCCCTCAAGGGTTAAACAGAAATAAACGTCCACATCTTCTGCCCTTTCTGTCTCTTATCCTGCAATCTTTGACCCACTGACAACAGTGACTTCCTTTGTCCTTATGCGTAAATAAATTATGACCACTTGCACCAAATACAGGCCAATGCTAAGCTTATTACTGGTTTTTGTCATTATTGTTTCTATTCGTCATTTTTATTATCAGCATTTCTTTATTATCTCTACTCAGATATGGAAGGGGAAAAAGATTTAATACCCAAATGAGTCAGTGTGGAGGTGGTCTCAGGTAAAAACTGTTGTATCTGTAGTGTGTGGCATGATTTTCAATTAATATTGTCAGTTATTTGAACTTTCTGTTGTTCCGCTCAGCCAGATACCTTGCTGATCTCCCTATTGAGGTACAAAAGTGGATATTTTCATTTCTATAAATGGTAAAAGAAAATAAATGATTTGAATTCTGACAAATATTGCTCTCAAAACTAACCTGGCCATCTGTGAGGGACACTTTTTTAAATCAAAGATAAATTCAGTTCACTTCAAGCCTGATTACTAGGCCATTTTAAAGTATAAATAATCAGACTATCTAATGCCATAAAGTAGGCTAAAGCAAATAAATTACAACCCAATCTAAAAAAAAATATATAGTATTTATTTATTAAAAAATAACTGATATTCAATTCTGTAGGATCATTTCATTGATAAGAATATTTGAATCAATAATAAAACCGTTCAATTTCTCATTGTAGTTGGACCTTATCAACAACATGTATATCTATGGGACACATGTGTTGCTTGTAGTTAGTGAAGAGGAATTTGTTTTGCTAAATTTTCCAATTTTCAAGGAGACCTACTGTTATGCTGATGATACTCAGCTATATCTGTCTATAAATCCAGATGAAGCTAACCCATCACATAGATTACAGGCATGTCTCGAAGAAATAAAAACCTGGATGACTCTTAACATCCTGCTTCTGAATGCAGACAAAACAGAAGTTATAGTCTTTGGACCAGAGTCTTTGAAAAAGAAGCTGATTAGTCAGTCATTTAATTTGGATGGGATAACATTGACCTCAGATAATAAAGTAAAAAACTTTGTTATTATTTTAGATCAGGAACTGTCATTTAAAACCCATATCAAAGAGGTTTCTAGAACTTCCTTTTTTCATCTGTGGAATTTTGCAAAAATTAGAAATATTCTGTCCAGGATGCATGGGGATGTCTCTTGAATTCAATTCAGTTTATTTATATAGTGCCAATTCACAACACATTTCCTTAGATATGGGAGCTGGCTCGGAGCTCATCTGCCTGGCTGTGTCTTTTCTGGACGGGGCCGCCTATGGAGCTGGTTGACAGTTGCCTTTTGTATCTCTGCTTCTTTCTGTATCTCTGATTCTGTCTCCTTGAACCCCATTCGGCCCTCGGCTAATGGCCGCTCACACTGAGCCTGGTTCTGCTGGAGGTTTCTCCCTGTTAAAAGTAGTTTTTCCTCTCCACTGTCGCTACAAGCACGCTTGGTGTAAGGGATTGCCTTCGATCCAATGATTCGATTCAATCAACTGGTTTTCCTTAGATAGAACGCTTTGAACCAATGTGACTGTATGATCTGGATGAATTGTGTCTGTAAAGTGCCTTAAGACGATGTGTTGGCGCTATATAAATAAACTGAATTAAATTGAATTGAATTGTTTCTCTGGGATTCCAGTTAAAGAACTCAGAGATGGAATAACATCATCAGGCATTAACACAATGAATAAAGAGTCACTACTGCATCCAAACCACAGAGACATCTTTATATTGCCGTTGTATTCCTGTTTCCCTCAGATGTTGCCATCACCAAGCCTTACGTCTGTTAAAAATCAGTCCATTTTCAAAGGAAATGGTAATGCTGCTTTGCTTCTTAATTATGTTGCAGCACAGACCTTAAATGCACTAGCACCAAAAGACCAGCAAGGATTTGTGTATTTGCAAATGTAGAGTGACCCAGTTCAGTAGATCGCTGTAAGATATGAGCCTATTTCTGAAGAAAGTTTTCATCTGTGATCCTAATGGAAACCAGATGATCGTGGCTGGAGGCTTCATTATTATCTGTCTGAATCAATAAGTGGGGTTGAAACACTTGGGCAGTCTTCTCCCTAATAAAAGAGATCCTTCATCCTGAATGGTTTGTGTGTTCGTTTTCTTCCCAACATATTGAAAGACTCATTCAGTCTCCCTGAAAGCTGATTGTCATAGTTTTATTGGCAGATCAAATACAGTTGTGTGTTTGTTTCATTTTTTAGGCAGAATTCTTGTTTGGTGACCAGAGGAGTGTTTCTGGATGTCTTGATGTGCCTTTGTGGGTCGAAGACCAGCCTTCTGGAAGGTAAGTTATTCCTGAAAAGTCTCTAGTTTTGGAAAGCTACACCAAGTACATCCAGTAACGGCCATGACTTCCCCCCCACAGCATGATGCTTGATTTTAATATTTTATTTTTTTCACCATGTCTCGATGCCTGACTACAGTAATACACTTCTGCTTGATCAGCTAATTCAACATATGCTTAATTATTTCTTCCTATTCTCATATGTTTTTGGTTTAGATAATCCTTACATGTCTTTCCAATACTGGTCTTTTACGGTATTTTATTTTAGCTGTAAATTAAATAAAAATCATTCAAAGACAAGGAATTAAAATAAAGAAGTTGAATAACAAACAACCTACCCATACTATTACCAGTTACCACCTTTAATTATCTGTCTGTTTAAAATGTCCTAAATCTTCTGAACCCTGTTGTAGATAATGTAGTCCCTGTATTCTGATCGTGGCTCTAAAGCTTCTGAATCTGAGCTATTCTCAAGTAAATGTCATTTGAACGGTTTTAACAGAAAAAAGAAAGTAAATAATTCAAAAGTTCATCTTTGGTCTTTTTTTTCTCTAATCTGTTAAAAACAAAAACATCATATTCAGTAAATAGTTTCGCCTCTTTTTGTAGCAATGGAAAGTATTTTTATGCAGTTTGATTTCTGTTGCAGAGTGGTGATTAAAGCCGCTGTCACACCTTGACGATATAGACCAGCGTATGCCTGACATAGGAAAAATCTGGCAAAAAAGGCTGGTATACGTTGGCTAAGCTATGGGTAACTTTTGTATAGGTTATGAGCACGTTGGAACAAGCAAACGTCAACATACAGCGAGTACGTGGAGAGAACTTCGAGTACTTCATATGCTGCTGTACGTCCCCGATGTATGCCAGCGTATGCTCATACATAGGGCATAATTTACAGTTATTTGATTGTTGACACACGTTAAGTGTAAGTTGCTCATAAGTCATGGTGTCTAGCTTATCCAAAACTTATGAGTAACTTGGGCATAACTTATGCGTAACTTATCAAGAACTTATCTCCGATGCATATCAACGTATTTGACGAGTTCCAGACGACCGCTGAATGGGTTTCTAACTTCCAGCTACTGTATAATGGCGTATTGGCAGCGTTTTGGTATAAAAAGGGGTTTCACTGGAGGAAACCGTCAGTACTGCTCCAGACTTCATCCCCATCATAGGGTGAGCGTGAAGGTAAGTGTGATGGATCATCCCTGCGGTCACGCCCACGGCCACGACCAGCAAACTTCCAAGCAGGCATGACGCTGAATGCGACTGCAGACCTTCTTTCTGTCTTTTTCTTTTTTCTTTTTATTTATTCTTTTTTTTGAGCGGTTGGTAAACAGCAGCTACATTAATACCGTTATCAAAGACAATGTTTTATGTAGACTGGACGCCCTCTGGGTGCATTGCTTCCCCTCTGAGGACATTGGCTTGTGCATCGTTTCATGGACATTACGCTTCCGTACATTATGCATAAGTTGGGCTGTCGTTGGACATAGGCTCTGGACTCGTTATGAATATGCTATGTACACGCCCAAACTTGAAATAATACATAGAAAGTTCAGCGTATGCCAGTGTTTTAGGTGATTCTGGGATGTCTGGCATACACTGTCTAAATCAGCAAGGTATGACAGGGCCCCAACATTATAATGTTAAAACTGAGCTTCATTTTGAATGTGCTAAAGCTGTGCTGCCTGCTCTTCATTTAGAACCAAAATGCTCTGCTTGGTCAGTGGTTTGCAGCCTGTCTGTACGTGTTGTCCGGCTGTGTGCACCCACCGCCCTTTGAGGGTTCCTGCAGTGAAGCAATGTGAATCCAAAGGAGAGTGTATTCTTTGACAGATATTTGGTTTTGGACCAATTTATGGAGAAGTGCTGTATGGGTAGGGCTTAGGGGAAGGATGTTCATAGGTTTCGTCTTGACAGTAGAAATGGTAGCAGGAATGAAAACCCTTTCTGACTGGCTTAGCCTTTCTCTGTACAGAACAGGTGTCATTAATATCTGGACACCTCTGATGCATCTATGATCCTATTGGTTGTTATTTCTTCACTGTGCCTTCAAATCTTCCATCTTATTGTTAGCTGTAACATTTCATACGCAAACAGGCATGTGAAGTTTGAAGCAGAGCTTTTGGATTTTTTTGTAATGTCTTTGACCATTGCACGTCTGACCTGGGGCACATTTGTTTGAAAATCTACCTCTGAGAAGTCTGCCAGATGTCTTAAATATTTAGCATTTAGCATAATCTTACTCCATGTGGAAAACTTGCTTTTTGAGCCCTGTTAACTTACAGCAAAAAGTAAGTTTATGCCTCCTAAAGCCCAAGACGAAGATTGGGTTCAATTTTAAATGTTTCATAAAACAGATAACAGCATTTTTTAATTGCTTTCTTTGAAAATGCCTATTTTAGAGGGTTTGCAGTGCCATTTTCATTATATTAATGGTAATAACCCAAGAAATTCTGTAAAATCTTGCACTTTCAGGTATAATGTATGCAATTCTGACATCGAGATGGTTGAGTAAGCCTTTGAGCTTGGAAAGCAGCTGGAAGTAATTATAAGATATTATAAATGTAGATAAATTCCATCAATCTGAAAAAAACAGACGGTTTAAAGAGCTAAAGGTGAACTTGACAAAAAAAAAAAGAAGTGCTTAAATCTTAATTACCAGGAGTAGAGGGGGATTTAATATGTAAAGATGGATTGTTCCAGAGTCTGGAAGCAGCTGGTGAAGTTCATATAAAAGCAGCAGGATCTCAGGAGTGCCTGGCATAGGGGTCAGAGGGGTGAACAATCCTCTTTTTCAATTTAACTTCTATGTATTCCCCTCTAACTGGGTCCTTGTGTTAAAGTAGGAACTTTGCATTTAACTGCCAGTTCTTCTGGAGTCTGAACACAGTTCTCTGTGCGCTGCCCTTTGATCCATGCAGACTCATTTAAAAAAATCCAATCCCCTGCCGTCTAATGCTTCATCGCTACCTCTGCCAATCTACCCTTTCTGTGCTTTCCAGCCACACCAGTAAAATAAGCTGAAAGGCTTGCTTTGACGGGAAAAAAGAAACGGAGGGGAAAGAATTGGGGCAAAAAAATATATAAAAATGAAAGCAAGTTGGCCTGAAATGTGTTCTTTTAATACTGTGTCAATAAATGATGCAAACGGCGTCACTGTACTCTGTACGATGAAGCCGTCTCCATTTTCCCAACTGTTCTGCTTTCAAACCCTGCAGATCAATTTAAATATATTATAGCTGTGCTTAAAGCTATAATGGGGATTTTTCTTTTTCTATAGTTTTTTTAAGAGATCGGTGAAACTTCAGAACATTTAAAATAAACCGTTTTTACAGTCAGCAGCTGTCATTATATAGACTTTTCTGTGGGTATCCAAAACTAATTACCCCATTTCCCTCTGTATCAGGTAAAGACTAAAATCATTAGACCATCTAATGTCACTAAGCATGTTTAAAATGGAAGAATATACTTGGAGATTAAAAAGTAAAAAGTCCAAAGACATATTTCAGCTTTGCTTTTCCATAATTAGTCTTCCAGTAACATTAGAGCATAGGATTGATGTTCCTTTCTGACAGCTTGGTGAGCCATCTGGATCCAAATGTGGATACTTGCTCCCATTTGAAATTAAGATGTACTTCTTCTTTCAAGAGGGATTACGCTCAAACCGCTGGAATCCAGTGTCAAGATAAATAAATGTGCTCCTTTCCTTTCCCGTGGAGATACTAGATGATTCTGCAGTCCAGAGATTTCACCCCTTTTGGAGCCGTGTTTGCTAACAGTGTTTTACTTTCACGTCTATGTTTATAATTTATAACAACTGTGTTCTCAAGAAGCTTTACAAGACAAACGGGTCCAATTATGATAAAAAAAATAGTACCTGATTTGTTCCTAATATAATAATATAGGCAGATGCAGTTCATCCAGCCTGATGCGATTATTAAACTGTCAAATTTATTAAATGCCAGTTGGCAAACAAAGAAACCGAAGAAAGTTAGGAAATTATATCAAGTCATTGAGTTGTTAGCTACTGTATTGTTGCCAAGACTGGAGAGAAACCACTTCCTTTTAATAAAATGAAACCTCCAGCAGAATCAGACTCAGAATTAGAAACTTGACCCATGGTAGGGATCTTTTCCACATTAAAAAATAAATAATAAAACTCTAAAGCAGTAAAAAAAAAAAATTTACTTTTTCCCCCCTTCAGTAACAACATATAGCTAAACACAGAAACAGTAAACCAGGAAAACAATTTCTGCAAGGAAAGCAAGAAGTTGATAAAGTTAAAAGCTTACCGTAAATTCCGGACTGTAAGCCGCTACTTTTTTCCCGCTGTTTGAACACTGCGGCCTATAATACAGTGCGGCTAATACATTTTTATTTTTTTTTCATGGCGTGAAAAACAGACCAATAAAATTGATGGATATTCAGAGAGGTCAAATGAAATTGTGCGATACATAATTCTCACTTTCACTGTTATTTGCAGTCTTGTAAATCAGTCATTCATACTGACCCTCAACATGGATACTCGAAGAAAAGCATACAATGCCGCTTTTAAATTAAAGGCAATAAATCTGGCGATTGAAAACAGAAATCGAGCTGCTGCACGTCATTTTGGGATAAATGAGTCGATGGTGAGACGGTGGAGACAACAGCGTGAGGAACTGACTCGGTGCAAAAAGACCACGAAAGCTTTCAGAGGTAATCACAGCAGGTGGCCGGAGCTTGAAAACTGTCTTGAAGACTGGGTGAACACACAGCGAGCGGGATGCCGCGGTGTGTCTACTGTGCAGATCAGGCTGAAGGCTAAAGAAATAGCCACCGACATGAAAATTCAAGATTTCAGAGGTGGGCCATCGTGGTGTTTTAGATTTATGAAACGAAAAGGCCTGGTGTACCGTATTTGTTTTTTTATCATACGGATTAAATCAAACGTTAAAAAATGCTCACGTGTAATATCTTTATTTGTAAATATCTCATACAATGTGGGAAAC